CTTTCAAAATTTTTTGTCCTATTAATTTAAATCTCACCCCTGTAGGTTTCTTTTTGCCCCTTGTACCAGTATTCAGGGGAGGGGGAAAAATTTTGAGTATTTCTTATTATAAATTTAAACCAAACCCTTGTCACACAATCAGTTTGGGGAAAGGGAAAAGAAAAACCTATTCTATCAAGGGCTAAGGGGGGACTACTGACGGGAGGGGTGCTCCCCGTAATTTTGACGGAGCAATATGTGCCTTTGCCCCGGCCATTAATTTTGCCCCCACCCAAGGCCCCTTTAAACCACGAAAAAAGCCTCACAAATTTTCATAAGTAAACCCTCGAGACAAAAAGTCACCGGTTCCGTCCCGGGAAATGTGATTAAAGGTTAACATATGCTCCCCCAAATTTTTATATTTCCCCTCTTTTGATTGATTTCAGCACTCTGTTTTGTACTACACAACTTACTTTTTACCTTTACAAAACCCATTGTAAGGATACTCGTTTTTTCCCAAAATTGGTGTCGCTGATATTTACTCTCGCAATTTATTTTTATATAATTGGCTAATTTAAAACCCTACTAAATGGCCGTTAATTCCCCAATGGGGAAAGGGTAGTGATTTGTTTTGGACCCCCTTTCTTAGACTAACTAGAGAAATAGTACTTTTACTTTAAAGGGAAAAGCAACTACTCCATTTGCAAATTTCGAAGATCGAAAAAAATGGGGGTCACTTTCTCCATCTTGATGGCCAATTGTGGGCAAACATGGTTTTTTTTAATATTCATATTAGTTCTTCCCACTTTAAAAAAAATTAATCGGGTGGGGTTTCACCCCAAGCACATTAAACTTCCATGTTCTTGTACAAAATTTTCTTTATGGGTAAGTGGGGACAAAGCTAGGGGGATCGAAGCTTTTTAAAACTTCTGAAAGAAGCTCTTTTGGTTAATTTTTTGGGCTGCGTAGTCTTTAGACTTTAACGTAACAAGCTCCCTCTGTGTCCCAAGTCAGTCCCAGACTTACTATTTTGGAAAATTAAAAATCCAGGGTTGTCTTTATTTATTTGAATTTAAAAAGGACGAATTACTTTTCCTTTCCTGGGGCATATTTGCACCTTGCATTATTTTTTACCCCCTGGTATATGTCATTAGTTCCTCTTCATAGACCCCCCCCAGGAAATTGCCCACAAAAAATTTGTTTCCCCTTTTACTCCACTCAGTGGACCCCCCATCGCTTAAGGTTTTTTATCGTTCCGGAGTAGGAACGGACGGGAGGTGCACCAAAAAATCATCCTAAGGGGAAAAGTCTTCGGGGACTAAGGGGGTACTAGGTTTCTGGGGCCCAAAAGAACCTAGTGCAATCCCGGTCAGTTCCTGCAGCCCACTCCGGAAAGTTTTACTTTGTCGCCGTAAAAGGCATAATTTTTAAAACCCTGAATTTTTAAAAGTATGTCTCCCGTTTTTCCGTCAAGACGGACTTCTCAAACGTCATTAAAACTGGGTACATTTTTATTATCCGGGCACTAAATTGAACACAACCTAGGGGGGGTTTAGAACCCTTTCTTCACCCCGGGTTTTGGAAATAGTGCCCATAAATCTGGGTTTGTTCGGGAGTTCTCCTCAAAGAATTTATATTTAACTGCTCTTTAATTATATCATCGTAAGCAGTCAACGTTTGGTGTTTTGCCAATTCGTGGAGCGGCCCTTAAAATTGTCCATACCCCTCGGAAATTAGTTGGTAGGTTGGATGGTTCAGTTTCCCCGGAATCTCCCCCAGTATTTCAGATTAAAATTTAACTCCTTTGGTATTGTTCTGAAAAAGGAATCCGGGACTTTCTCATTTCATTGATCCCTATGCGTCCAATTCCCAAAAATTTATCACGGGTTTTAAATTTCCCCTTATTGAAGTGTTTTTATACGGGGGTGATATTTCTGAGTAAGACACCCGTAACGTATTTATGGATTTCCAGTCATTCATTATCGGTACGGAAGCCTGCCTACATCAGGGCCCTCTCGGCCCCTTAGGGGTGATCCATTTTTTTGTCTTACCCTTTACAAGGTGGATAATGGTCACTCCCAATCAAAATATCTTTTGGGCCCCACCGAATATTATTTATACCGAAGGCCCCCAAATTACCTTATCAAAAGCCTTTCAGTAGCGTTCCCAACCCCTATTGTAGATATTTTTCTGGGAGCCTATCCAAATTACGGCATTAATAGTTTTCTTCTTTTTCCCCCAGCCTGAAGTTACATAAACAGTGTCGTTGACGGGGGCCTTCTTATTCGAGAGAAAGCCAGATAGTTGGTATAGCAGGATCCCCTTTTGTACCTTCATCCCAAAAAGGCATTATTTTTTTATGAAGGTACGTTTGCCCCTGACCAGTAATGTGTTACGTTTTGGATTTACCCTTTATCTTTAATCCCCACACCCAAAACACGGAAAGCTACTCACTAGGCATCTTTACGATTTAGCGCAATTTTTTACGGGGGCTACTGTTGTGTGGGTTATTATAAACTTCAGTACTATTGTTCCCATATTACGTTAGATCCCCCTTCACATAGTTGTGGTGCTTCCTTTTTACATGAAAAACAATAGTGCAAGTTAGCCGGCAACCCCTTACATTATGTTTTTCCTAGACCCCTTACTCTAGCAAGCCTTCCTTTTCCACTTTTACATCCCAGAATTTTAGGCATTACAGTTCTTAGGAAATGAGTACCGTTGAGAAGATACAAACTCTCCTTTTTTTTGTGCCCCCTTACAATGGGGAACCCCCTTATTGTGGTACTTCCTCCTTTGCTTTGATGTGGAGAAACCCCTATTATGGCCCTGTCACTTGAACGTGCCCTTTTAACCCCCTTTAGTAGGGGACTTA